GTGTCTGCACGTGTGTGAGCAAAAGGATGGTCCATGGAATGGAAAAGGAGAATTTAAATCTTCCTTGGGTCTGTATGCTCCCATGGGAGATGATTGCTATGGGTCTTGTTGCTCAAAGGATCCCATATGTAACCACAGTCTCCAGAGCAAACCCATTTATATGAACTCAGAAGGAGACAGCTTCTTTCTTCTCTTCCTCTCAGTGCAGCAAGCAGGATAACAGGACAGGCTTTTTTCCTTGCTTGGAAGCACTCTGCCCAGGCAGTGCTGGAAGCAGGTAGAAATCTTTTCCAGGTGCCATTTGATAACTCCCAGATTGCCAGAAATTATAAGCAGAGAGATTATCTCACCCACATTTGCATGTAGGAACTTCTCTGTGGGAATTACTTGGGACTCTAGCTGTTAGCCTGACTGGTCCCCTGTGAGGAGGCTCTGCCCCAGAGGATGACAGAGAATGAGATATTGGGTGACTTCCTTGGTTTTGCTGTGTTTTTTCTGGTTGCCTCGAACGCAGCAAACTGATGCTGTACCAGGCACTTGGTTGGAAGGTGAGCAAGCTTTGTCCTAGGACAGAGAGAGTGGGTTCATCTGGAAGTGGAGGAGTGAAGTCCCATTTATGGAGCCAATGGGGAATGGGTGGGAGTAGAGAGCCAAAGCCCTGCCAACTCACTCGGCTTCATTGTCAGGATGCCTCAGCTGCTCCTTGCCCAGCACAGAACTCTCAGCCAGGCATCGAGTCCTCTCGCTTCAGACTCCTGGCATCAGAGCCATTAAGCACAAGAAAAGAGAACCTTGCCCAGGCTGGGATGTGATGAGCCAGTTGATACATCATACACCTTAGTCCCTGGATGGAGCAGGCTCTGCTTTTGAGAGAAAAGAAATGTGTTTCCTCACTGGGGATGGCTGGTGCTGCTTGTGGTTAACCAAAGCTTCTTGCCCACTTTGTCCAGGCTTACTGATCTTTGTAGCAGGGCCTGGAGATTTTGTGGCTCAAGTCCCTCTCTGTAATGGACTTTGCAAACAGGGGCAGAGAATTAGTGCAGGACACAGGTAGGGAGCTGCTGGCTCAAGCTGGAGTCCGTCAGCAGAGGGTCTTCTAGTTCACAGACAGGAGCATGGCAGTTGCCTGTCCCTTGAGGGCTTGCCGGGAGGGAGCTAAACCTTGTCAGCAGGTGAGAGAAGGGCAGCCTGGTGCTGGGGCCTGGGCTCACCGACAGACAACAGCTTCTTCATTTAAAACTATTTTGGTCTTTGCAGTGTTGTCATGGGACTTGTTGAGTGTCCTGACATGCTGCTCTCACCCACCTCAGGTCTGACAGCAGTTGAGCAGCACCTTCATTGCAGGGAGCCTCAGTGCCTGGCAGGGACGGGGAGGAGGGATACTTGTGTGCTGCCTGTTCACCAGGCCTACCGACTGAGCCTTGGGTTTGTGGGAGGAGAGGGAAGGCAGGATCTGGCAGGCTGAGCAGGTATCATCCCCATGTTGATCTGCTAAATAATTGAGCAGATTTTCTATCAAGCCTCTTTTGGAGTGAGCTAATGGAGCAGAGTTGGCCAGAGCTTGTGTAAGGATCCTGGCAAAAGCAAGCAGCAGGGGAAGGGGTGAGGCCCAAAGGTGAAGCTGTTGGTTCTCTGTGTGTGAGGGCATGTTGTAATTAGGATTGGGCATATGGATTGGAACAGGCTTTGTGGGAAGTGAGTGGCCATTCCAGAGCAGAAATGAGCTGTGTTGTATCAGAGCTTGGCCACCATTCCACTCCTTCAGCTTCTGTCATGCCCCATTGACACCATGCCCTCAGAAGTGTGGGGAGCAAGGCCAGGCGAGGATGTTCCTCAGCCTTGCCCTTAGCTGATGCTCTCAGTGTGAGTTAGAGCATTAAGACACATGCAAGGAGTCAGCAAACTTGTCTGCAGTGCAAGTGTACAAGAAAAGACCTAAGCAGCCTTCAAGGTGTATCTCCAAGAGACTTCTGCCCAGAAGATGGAGAGGACAGGAGGAAAGAGCCCTTTGGTCACCAGGAACATGGTGGTACCAGCCAGCAAAGCACAGGATGGGGATCCTGGGCCAAAACCAACCACACTGTGCCAGTGGGATGCTGAGTATGAGTCAGTGGGACTTGCCAGGAGCTGCAGCACTGGGCTGATATGATGTTGGGGTAATTCTGGCTGGATCCCTACCACTCTTCTCCTTTGTACAGTACAGATGGGTGCAGAGGGACTGGCGGGAGGGTGGGGATGGAGAGATTCCTTGGGCAGAAGTAACACACTGGTAAGCAGAAAGGTGAGGACGCACCAGGTGGGGGAGGCAGGCCAAGCAGGATCTGGTTTTGGGGTCACCCCCATTGGAAAAGTCACAGAAGATCACAGCCTGCAGGTTCCTAAACTCAGCCTGGTCACTCATCTACATGCTTGAGCACTGCTGGGATCCTGGGGATTTGGCAGGTCCCTGCTGGACGTGGTAATTCTCTGCAGTCCTGTAGGACACTGTAATTACTGATCACTTAAATGCTAATGCTCCTTCAACATGGATTGATGAGCAAGCTGTGTTGGAAGAAGGTGCCAGGAGCACTCAGTCTAAAGGAGTCCCTGCATGGAGGAACGACTAGCTCAGACCTAAGTTTCATGGTTTAAAATGGAGTCTGGCCTTACTGATCTTAGTTTTTACAGGCTCCAAACCAGAGCAGGGGGACTGCCAAGGCTGGGATCTCCTGGCTCCTCGGGGCTATCAGGGACACACTGGGAGTCAGGAGCAGGCATTGTGTGGGCCAGCACCGGGCTTTTCTGCTTTGAGCTCTTTGGAAAACTGTGAGGACAGGATCCAAGTCCAGCCATGGTGTGTCCAGCCCTGGTGGCAGGAGGACAGGCAGGAACTGGCATTCAGTGCACCCATATTGTCCTGGCTGAGCTGTACTGGGGGAGACAGGAGTCAGCATTGGAGGCTGGTCGCAAAGCCCAGTCCTTATCCTTGTGTGCGCGGCACAGGTCCCTGTGTGCTGGGGACACTGAGCTTTGTGCTGATCCTTTGCTTTACCCTGCAGAGTCAAGGAGCAGGAGGCCACTTTGGCAGCAAGCCAGGGCTGTAATGGTGCAAAAAGCTGCCAAGAGAGGACAGTGTATTCCTCTGAGAGGATCCATTACATTTCCCAACTCCCCCCTGTCAGGGAGGCAGTGTTCCGGGCTATGTTTTTCCTTGCTGAGATGTTTTGCCTTTCAAGCTGCTTAATGAATGGCTTTGACAGTTCAAACTGCCTTGCCTTGCTCATTGGAGCAGCAGTGTGGCATGGGGTCCTTCCCGAGCATCCGGAAGGTGTGAAACAGAGCAGCAGGATTTTCCTGGGTAAAGGCAGGGGGGAGACCTTGGGGGCAGCACTGACACAAACCTCGTGTCGTCCCTGACATAGTGGAGCTCAGACTCCCTGCAGGGATAAGAGTATTGCAGCCAGCCTAGAAGGGCTCTCCTGGACTTCTCCAGGCTGGAGTGTCCCCAGAGGGGAGCCCTCAGGAGTTTCTTCACACTCCAGTTTCCCCAAGGTCCAGTCATTAGCCACAGCCAAGGATGCAGGTTTGCAGAGGCATTAATGCCTGGGAAGTTGATGTTAGCACCAGCAAGGAGACCTACAAGGATGGCAAGAGGTTTGGACCTGGGCCCTGTTGGCTAGGTCTCTTTCCCAGATACTCCCAGGGCAAATTCAATCCATCCTTCCTGTGGGATCCCTGCCTGGGTGTAAAACCAGGGGATGGCATTGCCTCATCCATTCTCAAGGGACAGGATACCACTCGCCTATCCATCTGACACAGAAGCACCTCATCACCCTGCTGTAGCTCCCCAGTGGGGCCAGCTCAGCATCGCAGGCTCGTCAGGAGCTGTGCACTGACGGGAGGTGGCAGGCTGGCAGTGGCAGGGGTGAGGGTGCAGGCTGCGGGGCCTGTCGCTCCGCATCTCATCGCCTGTGCTGACTGCTAGGCAGCAGCACGGGGTGCACAGTACTGGGGCATGTATCACATGAGGCTGTGAGCAAGGTTGGTGTCAGGAGGAGCACTGGGAGATTGTCTCAGGATAGCTGCTTTCCAAATGCTCTCTGCTCCTAGAATGGGTGAGGGGTTTCCGGCAACTGCTTTGGGCAGGGTTGGGGTTTTGCTGGGAAAAAAAAAGACCCAAAAAAGCTGCTTTTTTCCTGGCTGAAAGACTTGAAGGATGGGTGCTAGCACTGCCCTGATGCTGCAGGGACCTTCCCCTCCCACCAGTCACGGTGCTGCCAGCAGCTCTTGGGCCTGCGGTGCATGGCCGTGGCGGGGTGTGGGTTAGAGGGATTGTTTGTGAGGGGTCCTAGTTCCTGTTTGTGCTGCCCAGGTTGTGTCTGAGCTGTGCTCCTGCAGCAAGGTGGGCCCAGCATCCCCTGTGCTGCAGGTGACAGCCGCATGCTCCTGTTCTGGCTGTGGCTGGGATCATGGTGGCCAGCAGAGGGGGGGGGGGACACCCTTATCCCTCTGCAGGACTAGGCAGGTGATGTGGGGGGTAGAGCTGCTCCTTGTGCCAGGGGTGGGTGCTGGGAAAGCAGCAGAGGTGTCCAGTGAGGTGGGGGCTCTGTCTGCTGAGGGCATGGAGATTCACGGTCTCTCCAGAGTGCCTCTCCCCTACATCTACATCCTGTTTGTCCCTTTTGGGGTCTGGTTGTGCCCTTGCGTCAGTAGGTGCTGCTCTGTTCCAGCCCTCAGGCATCACTTTGCAGACCTGCTCTTGGGGACAAGGCACTTGATGCCCTCTTGCACCAGCCCCAGGCCACCAGCTCTGTCTCACCACATTTAACCCCCTCACTGATGCCACCCTAAAGCCGTTTGATGGGAACAGAGGCTGCAAAGCCCAGTGCAAATCTGTGTACTGGGCCAGCAGAAATTCAGGGCTCCCTCAGACCACCCCCAACTCCCACCACTGTGCCCAGGGGTTGCAGGGTGGCTGCATGCTGCTGCCCTGCAAGGGCAAGGAGACACTCAGCCCAGCATAAGCTTAAAAAAATAGGCATTTTTATTTCAATGTAACTAGAGAATTACAACCCAGGAGAGGAGAGGATTACTCACATTTATCGATAGGCTTATTAGATTACTGCCTAAATAGCTGTGCTTTAGCAGCGCATTTGTCCACCTCAAGGAGAAGCAGTGAAGGAGGGTGGTGCATCCGAGACCTCATTGTCCTTGGTGGCATGAGGAGCTCTGAGCAATGCGGTCGGGTGGTGTATCGCATCACCTAATCCTGCCGTGACTATTTACAGCTTCTTGGGAAGCAAAAGCTTGCGATGTTTGCTTGGCTGCATGGTCAGGGGCTGAGCTGCATCTCTCTCCTGCGTGGCCACCACTGGGGAGAGGGTGCCTAACCCCCTTGTGACAGGGTCACGCTCTCCTGAGCTCCCAGGCATGGTATATTGATGGGGATGGCAGGGGCTGGAAGAGGATGGTGGCATTGCCACCCCCAGGGGCCCTGGCATGAGCAAGGGCAGTGCTGCACTCATCATGGCTATTCCTTGGTGTGGAGGTCTGTGGCGGTGGCACCGTGTTTGGTCTTATGCCCAGGGACGTGGCAGACCACCAGCCTCCGTGTCAGCATTAGGGAGCTGGGGTGCCCACATGAAGTGGGGGTTTCTCAGTCATGCTGGATTCATCAGCGTTGCCCTTATGCTAACAAGGCCATTGCCTTGTTCACACAAGGAGCTCTTGCCAGGCACTGGTATGCCCCTACCCAAAACCCACCAGAAGCTCATGGCTGAAGCAGTTGTGGGTGGTGCTGATCACCCTTGTGGGTCGCAGTCAAGCCAGGAATTCAGGGTGTTCAGTAATCCTGCAGCAATGGAGGAGAAGATCTCTTGGAATGCCTCGGTGTTGACAAGGGCACTCGGCTCTGCTCCGCTATGACACAATGGGGGTGTCTGAAAAGACAGAGCTGATGGACTCCGAGTCTGACTTGAGCTGCAGGACCTTGGGGTTCTTGGGGTCAGGGAAGTCCTCACCAAGGGCCAGGCGGATCTTGCCATTCTGTGTCTCCCTGATGGGCTCAAGGAATACCACATGCTTGTTGGCACTGACCTTGCGGTTGGGCCCGTCAGTGGCGGGGGGAGTGGTGCTGAGGATGGAGGACTGGGCGCTGCACTCCTGCGGAGGGCTGAGAGGAGCTGGCTTCTTGCAGCAGTTCAGGCAGTGGCAGGGCGTGAGGTACAAGTAGATGAGCACCAGCACCAGGCTCACGATGCACCCCAGCAGAGTTGTGAGGCCAGTGCTAAAGGTCTCCCCATCCAGCTTGGGGTAGTGGACTGTCACGTTGACCTCACACAGCCTGCTGAAGTTGTGGGGGCTGTTGATGGCCAAGCCTACGTAGACCCCTGAGTGCCAGGGCTTGGCCGCTGTGATCTTCAGGCTGCCGTTGCGGTAGACTTCCAAGGAGCGGTTGCTGTTCCCTGGGTGTTTGATGGGCTCGTGGTGTGGGGAGATCCACATGTAGGTGGTGGCTGCAGCCGGCAGGCTGGTGTTGCAGGTAAGCAGAAGGGTCTGGCCCACCATCACAGGGAAGGGCAAGGGGTGCACGTCTTCAGGGCCCGTCGAGCAGTTCTCAAACATGTGGTTATATTTGAGGAACTTGATGAGGGACCGGGGCACGTTGTCAGACACTCTGCAGGTATGTTCCTCGAAAAAATCCTTCACAGAGCTGAAACCTCGCTGCTTCCAGTGCTGGAGCATCAGGTAGAGCGGGCAGCTGCACCTGATGGGGTTGTTGTGCAGGTACAAACCATTCCTGATGTTTTCGGGCAGAGCTGCCAGCTGCTCCACAGGGATGCTGCTCAGGCTGTTGGAGGAGAGGTCCAGTGTGCGGAGGCTGTAGTTTCCCAGCCCCTGCACCGAGTGGAAGGGGAAGGTGGTGAGGTTGTTCCAGCTCAGGTAGACTTTCCGCAGGCCGCTCAGCTTAGCAAAGGCATTTTCATCCACTCGAGTGATGTGGTTGTTGTAGAGCAGCAGCTCCTCCAAGCTCACCAGCATGTCAAAGTAGTGTGTCTCCACAGCATGCAGGTGGTTGGAGGACATGTCGAGGTGCCGCAGGTAGGAGGCATTGTGGAAAGCCTGCAGAGACAGGTCCTTGATCTGGTTGTGACTGATGTGGAGGGCCTCAAGGTGTGGGACAGCGGCCAGCCAGCGGTCGTGGAGCTGGGTGAGGGCATTGTGGCTGAGGTCCAGGGTGGTGGCGGTGGGTGGCAGTGCATGGGGGACATGCTGCAGCATCCGCCGGCTGCAGCTCAGCAGGTCAGAGGTGCAGATGCAGGTACTGGGGCAGCTGCGGGGCAGTGGGGAGGCGTGGGAAGCATGGCCATGGGCACGCAGCTGGAGCAGCAGCAGAAGCTTCATCACCCATGGCCAGAGCTGGTCTGCAGGTGCTCGTGGGGACATTGTGCCAGGCAGCAGTCTCTGTGCAGCCCGGCAGCACAGCCAGGCTTGATAAGACAAGAGGAAACGTGCCCCAGTCCTCCCCGATCTACCCCTGTGTTGCCCTGGCTGGGTGCTCTACCAAGCATCCATAGATGCCACTTTGCACCCTGTAGAGGAGGATCCTGTTTCCAGCTGTGGGGCTTGGTAAGAGTTAAAGGGTGGCATCTCCCTGCCCAGCGAAGCTGCCTCGTACCTGTGCTCCAGCTGACCGTGGGCTGTCCAGCACTGAGGTGCGGGGGGAGCCGGTGTCCAGCACCAGGGGGGTTGTGATGCTCTGCTGCTTCAGCGCTGTTTCGGGATGAGCGAACGCCTCGCTGCTTCCTGGAGCCCTGTGTCTCTGGAGTGCCAAGTTTCTCGGGGCTCAGTGCCGCCGCGGCACATCCCCACGCTCCAGCCGCCGGTGAGCCCCGTCCAGCAGCCAGTTCCCTCCCGGCCAGTATCTCCCGGGAGCTGGGCTCGCAGCAGGAGCGCGGTCCCGCTCCTGCCCCTATTTACGCGCTGGCGTGTGGGCTGGGCGGGATCCCATTGGTCCCAGCACGGGGAGTGGTGGCTGCAGTGGTGGCCATGGTCCACCCTTGTTGTCCTGCGAGCCGGCAGGGTGATGTGCAGCCACCACCAGCCCCTGCGTGGTTGCTTGTCCCCAGGGGTGCTCAGAGCCACTTTGCCGACCCTCCAGCCTCATTGGTGCACGGCTGCTGTCCCTCTGGCTGGAGAATGGCAACCTCGACCGGCTGTAATCTGTAAGGCAGCCGTGCCGGCTGCTTTGTGACTGCCCAGCCTCTGGGAGGGTGCTGGAATAAATCCACCCCATTGTCACCGCTGGGAGACCCTCATGTCCAGTCCTGCACCCAGGCTGGTAGCAGAGATGAAGGTCATCAAACACACACTCTACACCCACTTGTGGTCCTTCCTGCTGCTCTCATCCTGCACGAGCTGGCAGGGACCCCCCCCCCGCACTCCCAGCCATGGGGTGAGCCCTATAGCAGAGGGGGAGGCCATGGCAAGGAAGGGGTGGTCACAGGGTGAAGGACATGCAGGAATGTCATTATCCAGAGCCTGGGTGCGTTAGTGAGGAGCGGAAAACCGGCTGGGGAATTGGTTTCCATTAGGGCAGCAAAAAGCTAATTTGGCGGCTGCGGCTGCCTGCGCATCAAGGGGCTGTTAACTCCCTGTGCCCCGGCCCAGGCTCAGCCTGTGCCACTGGTTTCTCCCTTGCATTGCCTCCTGCCTCAGTATCTGTGCTTGCCCCAGGGCTGGCCATGGAGCCAGCTCTGCTCCTTCACCAGGGCAGTGAACAAGCTGCAGCACCTGATGGAAATACTCACTAAGGTGACCTTCATCTGTCCTGCTGTCCTCACTGATGCTTGAAGCCAAGGAGAGCCATGACTGCTCCTCCTTCCTGCCCTGTGGGGGCACCCACTTGCCCTAGGGGCATCTTGGTGCAGAGGCTGGGGGAGCACAGCACCCAACATGAGGCTGCTGCGTGGCAGCTCTCACCCTGGTGCTTCAAAGTGAGGGCAGTGCTGGCTGCTTCAGCTGCCCTGCAGCTCCAGCCAGGCACCGGTGCATGAGGGCTGCAGCCTCAGCAAGTGCTGATGCACCATATCGATCCCCGGAGCCTCTGTGCAGAGATGATGGAGGAGGAGGATGGCTGCTGCCCTTCAGCTGCATTTGAGCCTGTACTGATGATGCAGGGAATGGGGGGCGGGGGGGTGTGTGCAGCTGGGTGGTGGTTTGTGATCACAGGAGGGTTGTTCCTAGGGCAGAAGCCTGACTGTCCCTCCACAGGGTCGAGCGTGCAACGGCGGTGCTGCTGGCGGACCCCTGTTTCCAGCTGCGCTCCATCCAGTACCTGCTGGGCCACGCTGAGCCCTCAGCCCTGGCAGCCACCGCCCCGGCCACTGAGAAGCGTCATTTCTCCCTGCACACCTGTAAGTGCTGGCCCTGCGATGGGCAGAGCAGGGCTGCCCCTGTGATGTGTCCCAGTCCCCTTCCTTAGCACTGGGGACAGGGGTCCATGGCCAGGGGATGGGGTTGTGTCCAGTGCCTGCTTTCAGCAGTGTTGTCCCTTCGCAGTGCCCCCTGTCCATCTTGCTGCCCCCAGCATGGGGATCCCTGTCCCCAGCACCAGGCCCCCTGCCCTGGCTGGGCACCAAGAGCAGTCGCAGCCACTCATGCATTGCCCAGCCACCTCGGGACACATACATATGTGTGTCATATTCACACCACACACACCCAGTTTGTCCCCACAGACACAGATTACATCAGTACTGAGGAGTTGGTGAAGGTGGACAAGATGCTGAACCACCTAAGCGAGGAGTCCAAGCAGGCAGCTGCCACCACACTGGTGAGTGCCCCAGCCCGCTCCCCATGCTCAGCAGCAGCCCTGGCTCCTGGCAGAGCTGCCCTGGGATACAGGGCTTTTGCTGCTACTATTAACTGCCTGGTGCCTCCCACAACAGCCCACCAGTGAGGAAGATCTCTGCCCCATCTGCTACGCACACCCCATCTCAGCCATCTTCAGACCCTGTTCCCACAAGTCTTGCAAGTGAGTAGCTTCCATGTGTGACCCTAACACCAGGGTGACTGCCAGCACCTGCCCCCTCCTCCTGCCCTTCATGCTGTGCTGGGGAGCTCACACTATGTCCTCCTCTGTCCCAGAGCCTGCATCAACCAGCACCTGATGAACAACAAGGACTGCTTCTTCTGCAAGGCCACCATCACAGGGGTGGATGACTTTATCAAGCCAGCCAGCTCATAGAGCCCAGCCCCACACCACGGGTTCCCCGCCGCACACCAGCTTCTCCCCAAATATTCATGCTGCCCAGAGCAGGGGGGCTGCAGTGTGGGGCTTGGGGCTGCAGGGAGAGAGAGGCTGGGGGGGGGGGGGTGCAGCATCCCACTGCTCAGCATCTGGACCATAGCAGCCCCCTTGCCCCATGGGCCGTTCTCAGGGAGGGGAGCCCAAGGCCTCAGCTCTGTGGCAGCACTGGGAACACACGGCAGTCCCAGGCCAGGGCAGGGGGCCGGGCTGGGCATTCGGGCTGTTACCTTGCCCCTGGCTGGGGCCTGATTTCATGAAATGCAGCATTAAATTATTCTTCCTTATGCGGTGTCTTGAGACATGGGGAGGGGAAGCCAGGCCGGTGCTGGGGAGCACGCCAGTGCCAGGCCACACTCAGTAGATGGAAATATAAATATTTAATCCAAGCCGGGAGCACAGAGCCCAGTGGGGGCTGCTACATAATGATGCGCGGCTCTGGCACCGACTCAGAAATGGACTTGTGTGGCAGCACGTTGGCCCCGTTGAGGTAGAGCTCGTCGTTGACGATGACATCCTCACCCAGCACCGTCACGTTCTCCATGCGCACCTGCCCCAGAGAAGCCCTATCACGCCTGCCCTGGCTCAGATCTTGGTGCCACGCTCCTGCTCCTGCCCACAGACACCAGTGCATCCCTCCATCCCTCCTTGTGCAGCCTGAGGCAGCAGGAGCACAAGAGCTGAGCCCCAGTCTCCCACAGGTGCACCCACGTTCTCACCCATTGCCCCACAGAGCAGCTCCAGCCGACGATGCAGGACTCCAGCCAGGAGTGGGAGCGAATGCGGGCCCCCTCCAGCACGGTGCAGCGCTTGATGCGCACCCCATCCTCCACCACCACGCCAGCCCCAATTGTCACATTGGGGCCGATGACGCAGTTAGCCCCAATCTTGGCGCTGGGGTCCTGGAAGGAAGAGCGGCTGTGCCGGGGCCGGGAGGGCAGAGCTCTCAGCCAGAGCTCCCAGCATGGCCCACACCACCCAGACAGTGCGTGGACAGCAGCCCACAGCTCGAGGACAGCAGCGAGGACAGTGGTGGGAAGACAGAAAGTCCATGATGTGTGCTAAAGGCCAGTGTGCCGGGGGCTGGCACTTACCACCAGCACATTCCCTACAACACCAGGCCCTGAGTGCAGCTTCTCAGGGTGCTGAGCCCGCAGCGCCTGCAGGTACATGCACATGCCCGTAAGGAAGTCCTTTGGCTGCCCGATGTCCATCCAGAAGCCTGTGGGAACAGGGCCATTGTAACAGCCACCAGCACAACGGTGACAGTGCAGGCAAGACCTCCCCATGCTGCCTACAGCACGTGCAGCACCTTACCCTGCAGCTCCATGGCGTAGAGCTGCCCTTCCTGCGCCATGGCAGGGAAGATCTCCTTCTCAATGGAGGTGGGGCGCAGCTGCAAGGACAGGGCACAGGGCTGAGCCAGGGGCCTGGACCCCCAGCCTGGCCCAGGCCAACATCCCAGCCTGTACCTGGATGCGCTGTAGGATGCCGGGGCTGAAGATATAGAGCCCAGCATTGATCTTGTTGGACACGAAGACACGTGGCTTCTCCACAAAGCGGCAGATGCGGCCGGTGCCGGGCTCACTCACCACCACACCGTACTTGGCCGGCTCCTCCACACGGGTCACCACAAGTGAGCCCTCACCGCCGTGATGCCGGTGGAACTCGGCCAACGCCACAAAGGGGAACTCGCAGATCACGTCGCTGTTGAGGACAAAGAAGGGCTCCCCGTCCTCGGCCAGCAGGTCCCGCGCCAGCGCCAGGGGCCCCGCTGCCCGGCCATCAGTGACGCCACGGGGACAGGTTGAGCCCAACGCCTGGCCTCACCTGTGCCCATCCCAGCTCCCCCGTGCCCCAAGAGCCTCACTCAGTCCCACTGTCCCTGGTCCTTCCTGTCAGCCTCTGCTGACACCCTTTGTCCCTCTTATCCTGTCCATGCCCATCGTGGTGTACCCCTCACCCTTGTCCTGCCTATGCCCACCCTGGTGTACACCTTGCCATGTCCCAAGTCCTTACAGCCCTATCCATCTGTACCGTCCCTGCTCTCGGCATCCCCTAGCCCTACCCATATCCAGACTGCTGTCCTCAGTGCCCCCTCCTCCAGTTGTCCCCCTGCCAACCTCCCACTGTCCACTTCCGTCTAGTCCCCCGCTGCCCACGCTGCTATCCCCTGTGCCAGCCCAAGCCCCAGCGCCTCTATCCCTGTCAGCTGCCCGCACCCTACCTGTGCCCAGCGGCTCCTTCTCGTGAGACAGGGAGATGCGGATGCCGAGCTGCGGGCACAGTGTGAGCGGGGGGTGCGAGCCGGGTGCCGCGGGTCGGGACGGGGGATGCCGGGGACCCTTACCCGCTGCTCCTGCTCCCGCATGGCGGCTCCCAGCGCCTCCGACATGTAGCTCACGGCCAGCACCACATGGGTGACGCCCGCCTGGCGCAGGGCCTCCAGCTGGTGCAGCAGCACCGCCTTGTTGCAGAACTCCACCAGCGGCTTCGGCCGGCTCAGGGTCAGCGGCCGCAGCCGCGTCCCGAAGCCCCCCACCAGAATCAGCGCCCGCATCGCACCGCGCCACGTCAGCACCGCGCGCCGCCGCGTCACCGCCACGCCCCCACGCCCTCCCGGCCTGCCCCGGGTCCTACCGCCCGCCCGCCCCGCCCCGGCAACGACTGCCCGCCCCGGGTCCTAGCGCCCGCCACTGCTGACGGCCCGCCCCGCGCCCTAGAAGCGGAAGGGCTCAGCCGCACCCCCAGCCCAGCCGCCAGGAACAGGCAGGCACGGCACACCACGGACAAAAACAGATCCTTTAATGGTTTTTGGTTCTCTGTGAAGCACAAACGGAGTGATTATTCATGTAAAAACAAACGGGGTTGAGGCTATGTACAAGCTGTGCAGTCCCACTGCCGTGGTCCAAAGGGGAGAGGGGCAGGCAGGGCCACAGGGAAGTAGGGGGGAGGCCGAGATGCCTCCCAGGAAAGGGGCCTGCACCTGCCCAAGCACAGCCCACAAGGGACAAGGGCATGCACAGGGTGAGCTGCGATGGGCAACACGGCTGTTGGGAGGTACCCAAGGCACCCACAACTACAGCCCTTAGCCCCCCTCGCTCTGTCCAGCCACCCCTGCTCCCCAGCATTCCCAGGGGCCCTGCGTGGTGCGGCAGTGACTCGCAGAAGCAATGAAGTAACCCAGCACAGAGCAGTGTGGTGTGAATAAAGGTCCTCAGCCAGAGAGCCAGAGGGGAGTAGTGGCTTAGGAGACAGGCAGGGGTACGGTTCAGGACAAAGCTGGCACTTCCCTTGCCCCTTCCACACACAGTGCCATGGGCCTGTGCCTGCTCCCGCTAGCCAAGCACTGACAATTCCCAAGCAGACTGTGCACACATCAAGTCAGGACACATGCGACATGCGAGCATTCCCTTAACAAGCTTTCCTGAAGTGCAAAAAACAAAACCAGACCAACCTCACCAGTACCCAGGCGGCCTCTCCAGCAGCCAGGGTAATGGGAACACCATGGAACAAGTCAGTGACACTGGGGAGGGAGCTTGGGGGTCCCAGCACAGAAACATGGGGTGGGAGGTGATGCAGAGCAGGGTATGGTTTGGTACCACGAGGCCACAGTATCAAACATTAATGCCCTCATCAAGGGAGGCAGTGGGTAACACATAGGCTCAAGGAGGGAACCGAGGCAGCAGAGCACACCCCAGCTGGCTGCTTCACCTACAGACTGGTGGTTTATTTCAGGAAAGACTGACCCCGTGAAGCAAAGCTAAGCAGTCAGGCCATAGCACTGGCTGCTCAGCCAGGTGCCCCCTCACCTGCCCCCCTTGAGCCCCTTGCGGAGGAGGAAGGGGGTCAGCCCTAACCATCAGCCTTCCCTTCCATCACCCCCGTGCATGGACCAGCCAGAAGGGCCGGAGGGGAAGAGGGCAGCCTGGGCCTGGAGGGACACACACACGTAGGACCTGTGGGACCAACATTACAGGACAGGAAGGGTTGAAATGGTCCGAAATGCCCCGCTGCACAGCTAGGGTCACGTTAACTGCTACAGATACTATTGCTAGCCCATGAGCTGAGTTCTTGCTTGGTCAATAGTCCAGGGCAGAGTTACTCTTACCAAGCCCTGTGCCTGCCCCGGGCTTGAGCACAATTGCAGGTGTGCAAGCATTCCCTCCCGGACACAGCTCTGCCAGGGGTTGCATTTGGTCATTTTATTTCCATGTTTGGGTTGGTTACTCACAGTGCCCAAACAGCAGAAAAAAGGCAGCATCAAAAGCAAAGCCTCCTCAGCAAAACCCAGGGCAGAGCTCACACCAAATGAATGGACCAGCACCTGTGCTGCTCACCATCAGCCCCACAGACACTGCCAACTTCCAAATAACTCAGGAGAATTACAAAGGGAAGGATCTCCCAGGGGCTCCTGAGGTAGGAGGCTCCTCATGCCACAGCTCCAGCCCCCCCCGGAGAGCCCGGGCTCTCCTGCTTTTTCTTCCCTATGTCCAGGTCCTCCCTCCAGACTGCATACACAAGAAGTGAAGAACCAGGACACCCAACACCCAGCAGGCATCTACAGAGCCTCCTCCAGAAGGCAGAGCTAGTGTGGTTGGAAGCATCGGGTCAGCATAAGGAGCTCTTCCATCCTGCTTCCCCTCAGCTCTTCTATCCAAGTACATTTAAAAACAATGGAGCAATACAATTGTTTAAAACCAAAGTTGTCTGCTTTTTTTCCTGTGGTAGTAGGTGGTTGTGTCTGCTCCTGCCACCATGACAAGATTAAAACGCTGTAGCTCAGGTCTACTGGTTTTCCTCACGCATCTGTTCCATGATGTTGATGAGGCTTTCCAGCCCAAACATGTAACCCATGTCAGGTCCATCATGCACCGTGGGGTCATCGCGAAAGCCTTTGAACGTGCTATGTGCAAAGTCAATCATACGCACATCCACCTTGGGCTGGGCCGAGGAGCTGGGCTCTGTGCTGCCACCATCCTGCGGGCTCTCCGGGACAGAGCTGTCCACCCGCTTCAGGCGCATCTCTGGACGGCGCTCCACAAACATTCCTGCCCTGCTGTCCTTCCCATCATAAATGATGAGGAGGGAGCTGGAGTAGAAGCGGTAGGAGGCCTGTCTTTCCAAAACTGCCTTCAGGCTTCGCAGTTTGGTGAGGATAGGCTCAAAGAGGTCTTTGCGAAGCTCAATGCCGTTGTGGAGATACTGGTAGAGAGCATTACGGAAGCCCTCGATGGAAAGACCGCGTCCATAGTACTTATTCCTACATAAGTAATGCCCTGTGTCCAGCTGATAGACCTGGAACACCAAAAGAAATGCTTATCAAGTGGGAGCAACAGGTTAAGGTCACACACAGAGAGCCCTGAGCTGTCCTGCACTGACAGGGCAGAGGGGACTCATTCTGTCCCCACCAAACCCAAGAGCGAGCAGGAAACAGCTCTGCCTGTTCCCTGAACTCCACAGCAGCTCAAGGGTGCATTCCACAGGCACAGCCACAATGCCCAAACACTGACAGTCTCTTCCAGGACACCATCAGACATCTCATCAGTCTGAGTGTCCCCAAGAGGCATGGCACAACAGACCCCAAAGGCTTACAAAGCAAAGTCTTACAGCAACTTGGAGCTGCCAATACGTTACTGCCGCCATTGTGTGGCATATGATTAATGAGGGCCCCTGACTGCTTGTGAGTCTGTGGGCAAGATCCTTCTGCAGGCACGGAAAAGAGCAACAACTGCACAACAGCACCAGCAGCAAATCCTTGTGTGCAGGGCCCAGCCACAAGAAGAGGGCAACTTTTCAACTTTCACTTCAGTACAGAAGCAAATGTCAGCAGCTGCTGGGATGGGGGGGGGACACGTCCCTCCCCAGGCACCACAATTCTAGCTGAACAACATGCCACAAAAATAATTTTATTAAAAAACACTGTAACTGTGTGTGAACCAAACAGCTTTGGCTAAACCAGGCCACCTCAGGAGAAGTAGGTTCGTTTGTCCTAGGGCTTAGGAACAAAGACAAAAAGCATGTCGCATGAACACCGGTGTACTTACCTGAAGTGGGAGACTCAGTGCTCAGCAGAAAACACTAACTGGAAGGTCTAACAGGGCTGCAAAGAGAAACATGCAGCACCTGCAGCCTTGGGGATCCCTACCTGCATCCCACACACGCGCACGCCCAAGGTGGCAGAAGTGCTCTGTTCACACTTTTTCATCTGCCGAGCAGCCTTCTCCTCAGATGCATCATCTCCGTGCTGTCTGGTCCCCATCTTCAGATCAAGTACACAGGGAAGCCTAAAGTGATGCACCACGTTCTCCAACAAAAGGAACTCTGGGAGACAGGTCAAGGAGAACTCACTTGCCAGAGACACCACTCCCTGGGACATCACAGACAGGGACAGGCAACAAACAGACAGCACAAACTGGGAGGTGAAGAAAAGGACAAAACCCAAACAGCAAGAAGATCACATGCAGGGTACTGGAAACGCAGCAGGAGGAACCAATGAGCAGAACTCTAATGTCAGAAAAGACATGGTATGGGAATAAGAACTGCTGATATATTAAGCAAGAGCTTAAGGTCTACTGAAATTAGCAATTTAACCATATGGATAAACAATACAATCCCCACGGACTGAAAACTGAAGGCCCAAGCAATAGCACAGTACTGCTGCTCTTGGCCTGCCCCGAACAGCAACGCTGCCCAACACACACACGGGGGGGGGGGGGAACTGAGGAGGCTACAAAGACAGGAAACAGAACAGTAATGGGAGCCTTTAATTACCAGCACACACAATCAGAGCACAGACTGAGAACAAGCCTGAGACAATCAGTGCATCAGCTTGTGCCAAAGGGAAGAAAAACAACCCTGAGGTTTGCCCTAAGTAGCCCTGGCAGGGCACAGTTCAACATGTTATGCTGAAATGGCAACCAGAGCACAGCCAGATTAAACCTGCAAGGAAGTTTAACACTCAGAAAAATCTATCATCAGCTATGCTTCATTTTGAAAGAGGAACTTCGTAAGAATAAGGAACTGTGATTAAAAGGGACAGCTGAAGGGAACTGCTTCTCTGCAAGTGATGCAGGCTATTTAAAAATAAAAGCTGGAGGCTCAAAGTACACACTTGAGAATAGGAAAAGGAAGCCCACACAGTTAAAATGGTGAAGAATACAGCTATTAAAAGTAAGTTTGTTCTTATGTGAGGGAAACAGAATCAAGCTCCAGCAGGTGAAACAGAAACAAACAAAAAACCCACAAGATGACAAGTTCAAGACAAAAAGCACAAGACCCATTTGCAAAGGCACAGAACATAACAAATCCATCTTCAACCATGAGCAAACCAGCCAGACCGCCCAAAGAGGTTAAACACAAAGTACAAACGGAGCTACAGGGGAGACGGGTGGGACAGGGGTGTGAAGAGACCCCCTAAAAGAGAAATAAAATTAGTATTTTGCTGCTTTATTTACCGGGGGAAAGCTATGGGGATTCCCAAGACAGAACTCTTCTTTCTGAGCTCATAGAATCCTCAAACTGAAATGCCAAGAGAAGAAACTGTATGGCAAACAGAAAATAAAGAGATGTGTAACTCATTTAACTCTCTGCCTTAATACCAGGAGACAGTGGGGCTACCACAGCACTAAGCTACACTGATCTGGGGAACTATAACCTAGCCTGAATGGTGTTAGAGCCAGAGTTGCCAGCAGGGTCTTTGTGTGAAGATCTACCCTGTTCCACAAGCAATCCACAAAAGTGAGATGAGAAATCTGCTCCAAGTACTAGTTACTCAAGGCTGCAAAAATGAGGAACAGCTGTGCAGAACTTCACAAGGATCTTATGAGCCTGATTTGGCCATTAAATGGGCAGACAAAATCCACTCAAGTTTACATGCAAGATGATAAACATATGAAGAAAAATATTCATGTATAAAGCAATGGATTTGAGACAATTATTACCAGTCAGGAATGGGATCCTGGGGTAATGAAATCGTATTTGGAACAAGACAGTGTGTTAGGAATAATGAGGGGGAAAGAGACACAACCGCATTAAACAACAGTGGAAATCTCTGGCTCAAATGCCCCTTCTGTATTGTGTGCAGTTCCGGTCACTGTCTCCAGAAGGACACAGTTCAACTGGAAGAGACTCACAAAAGGTGACAAAGACATACTTCCCTCCTAAGGGATTACTGAACAGCACAGACCTGATTCTGCTGCCAACATGAAAAAATACAGTTCAAAACACAAACCAACAAAGAGAAGGATCAGAGAAGAAAGAAAATGCGGGATCTAATCAGAAACACAGCTTCTCTGAGCATCAGTGTCAGACATGTGCCACTGTATGGGAAGCAGAAAGAAATAGTAAAAAGAAACTCGTAACACCTTTGCTTGTGTGAAGGATAGGAAACCCAAAGGAAATGCAGGCCTGGCTGCCCCAGGCACAAATATGTAAGGCCAAGGTAGCAACAGCAACCTGACACTTATTTCTGCTTCCCAAAGGATACTATAGAGTTTTCGGTCCTTGGACTCCGACCGCATGCGGCTCAGCTGCTGCTTATGACAGCGTAGGCTCCAGGGATTATAGCTGATCTTTTCAGAGCTCAGACCACTGTTCCCATCCAACATCTGAAATGGAACATCTGAATGGATGTGCAGGTCCCCCCTGGGACTCTTTGTTTCCTGGATGCTGCTGGTATAAAGACAGAACAAACTTTCCTGTTAAAATCTACACATTCTCCAGATACCTGCAAGTGTCACATCCTCCCCTTGCACACAATTATTTCCTATTCCTTCTCCAGCCACATGCTTCACACAATTCAAATCTTATTAACAGCAAATCTTCACTAATACCCTGAGCTGTGGATTCACGCTCAAGGATCTGGTCTAACATCTCTGCTAGGTTTTATTGTAATGATAGAGTAACAGGAACATTTGTTTCTCAGGGAGCTCTGGCTGGTGTGAAGATAGAGACCCATATTCAAAGCATCCCTGGAAGAAACCTCTGTGTTAATAACCAGGTGGATTAAAGGGTGTTTGAACCTGCTCCACATACTTTGGTTCCACATCCAATAAACTGACAAGGGTTATCCTGTCAGAAGCATTTCACATGGATGAGCTCATCCTAAGTCCAGCAGAGCTCTTGACACAGTTTGCAGTGCCCCCATGTGCCAAGTGAGCAAGTGCAAGACAGCCTGAGCACTCTATGCAAGTGAAGAACAACTGCAACAAAAGAAGCACCAGAGCTGAAAGGGGAAGAGATATTTTCCACTCATCGTGTTGTCACTGGACCCTCCAAGTTTTACCTTTCAGTGCTGTCACTGGCCAGGCCAGGCCTCTCCTCCTTGTGCTCAGTGCCACTGCTTGATCTGTGAAGACTCCGACGCGAGTGCTTGCGTCGTGGCTGGTCCCTCTCTGGCATGTCATCCTGCTCCACAGCCTCATTCTCCACATAGGGATAGGCCACCAGGTTAATGTAACCGTCGCTGTCTCCTTCAAAACACACAGATACCACACCTGCCAAAGACAAGTGGCATGTCAGTTCTGTTTCTTTGGGCAAGGAATACACAATCACTAGCACCCGGATGTTCAACAGAAGAGAGGAAAATGTAGCTCACAGAGCAGCAAAGCAAATCCAGAGCAATGTAAAGGAGGTTTTAAGACTACAAGAACCCAAATATTAAGCACAGCATAGAGGAGAAATCCCCAACATAGTGGTCTGAGCTGCTACCTGAGCAGTCAGTCAGTAGCAGCAGGGGAAGCTCTGCTACCACAGGAAATGAAGGACAAAAGCGCAGCTGGTAGACTGAGGGGTGTGATTATTTCCTTCCCTTCAGTCTTGCAGCAAATGTCATCAAACTGGAGAAAGTCAAGCACAGCCCACCAAAATATTGAGGAGGGCAAAGCATACAAAATATATATAGTTCATTGGAGCAAGTATCTATGTCTAGAAGCACTCCTGCTGTTGACAAGGACATCACTGGCTGAGGAGCAATGTCCTTGTTTTATCTTTCTCCTCTAAAGAAGCTCTCTAGTATCTCAAGTATGAAGTACAGAGCTCTGAGGCTGAGATGACGCTTGCCTCTGTTATCACAAGTCAGCCAGTCTCACAGAAAAGGGACCTACAATGTGCCAGGGCTTCCTAGCAATAAAAACAGGAGGGTCTTGAAGTAAAACTACCTCAGCCAGGTGCAGGCAAGCAAGACCATTTGTGTCCTGTGCAGTTTTACCTTCTGAAGGCTCCTGGAAAGCACCACGGTCCAAGGGAAGGTATCAACCTTTAACAGCACAGACTCTGAATGTATCTACCTGGCCAGCCAGAGAGTAAGACAGCTGGCACACTAGTAAGAGCTGACATCTTCATCTTCAGGACCATCTCCAGCCCTGAAAATGAGGCTACCAGCCCATCTCCTAACCTGCAATGACAAAAATCCTTCACTAGCTTGTGAAGCACTGAAAGCTGCCAGAAGTATCAGACACTACTGACTGATTCAAATAAATCATCAGAAAGGCTTGCACTATTTGGATGATGCAGGCCATCATGTTACTGCCCTTCTTTTTCCCTTATCTGCACATGACAATGCTGAGAAGGTTCAGGTGGCTCAACACAACTTCAGAGCAGTTTGGAACTCCAGCATGTCACTACACATATGCCACTCTGAGTGCTCTGGCTGCCTGGATATGGACATCTCCATGAAAGAGCAATCTTATAGTAAGATGTCAGTGCTCAGACAGGAAGTATCCTCCCCAGTCTTCCTCTCCTCCAGATCAGCAGGACAGACTTCTGGGACTACCAGATGAAGTCCCACGCTGGGGTGGACATGCATGTTCTATATCTTTAGGCTACCAGGAAGTATCTGACTTCAAGAAGGCAGATCTCCATCTGGACTATCAGCTTCACCAGTTTTAAATATAACTCCCAAGAAAATCCTGCCATCATATTGATTTGAGTCATTACATAGGCTTCAGCTGAGGTTTCCAATGGGCCACTAAAGCACCATATGGCCCCAGAGTGGTTTGAGGGTACAAGAGGACCCATCTGTTGGAGGCCTTCATTCATGACCTGCACACAGACACAGGTAAGCTGACACTGCTTTGAGACCCTCAGGCTGCAATCAATCAAACAGCAAGACCCCGAACAGGTGGTGGTCCCAGCAAAGCACCGTCTGCCCCAGCACCACATGATGACAAAGAAGGAGAGGCAATAGGAACACTAAGTCCCCCCACAAGGCTGCCTGCCAGCATCACCATCTGAAAGACACAGATGAGCTCCCAGTCTCTTACAGTGATACAGACACTGGAAAATTCCATTCCCTCACAGTGACTGAGGACAAGGCTTCACCTCAGCACTCAGAAAGCAATGCTTCCTGCTTCAGCAGCTTTCTGATACATGTCCATAAAAGAGATGGGATGAGGAAGCACTAAATTATGGGACTGGAAGGTGCCAATGCTCGGTGTATGATCTAACTTCATTTACTCAAGGTCAAGGCTGTAATTGACAAAAACTTGGTAGTAAAATTACTTCAGTTACACACCCATAACCTTAAGCGTCAGACTACAACTGTTAGTTGTAGTCTGCATACGCTGCACACTGTCTAAAAAGTGAAGCACGCTGATTTCTGCATGCCTATAGAAAAATACTTTTTCCTGTCCATGTGCTCCTACAAAACTGCTAGCCTGAAAAGAGAATTAAAACCAACAAATAAGGCAGCACCAAAAGACAGCAAGACATAAGCAGCTGCAGGAAAATGAGGGCAGGTTCCTGACACATGTAACTGCGTTCTGGAAAGACAACAGGTCTCACCTTTGTACTCAGGTGTGAACTCCTTCATTTCTGGGGGCAGAGATTCATAGAAACGCTGTTCTCTGGTAATGAGGGGCTTGCAGACAGTGTGGTCGTCATAGCGCATCATGCTGCTGTGGCCACCAACCTGGTGAATGAAAGGCTCCAGCAGGACCCCCCGGTCTCCAGATCGAGTGGCATTCTTGCCATACTTGCCCACTTCCATGGTTTGACAAACACACATTGCGTTGGGCACCAGTTGCACTCTTGGAGCATGGGGAGAGCCACATGGGCTGGGAGGGTGGCTCAGCAGCGGTCAGGCAGACACAGGGGAGAAATCCTGGTGATCTGCTCCCTTACAATGACCTGAAAAAGCAAAGGAGATTCCTGTGAACAGAGGACCACTTGTGTTCACTCTCTGTTGGCTCAGAAAAGGTTCTTGTATTTATTTATATCCATAACTATTCTTCTTCTGTTCTCTGTTTACATCACACTTGCTCCAGCATGCTCTTCACCACCACTTTAATCCCACAGGTAAGCACGCGCTCATTTGGAGGCAGTCTCATATACAGCTTCTCCAATAGTGTTGATAGGAGATGTGAGTATTCTGAGCCTTCCATCTGTAGAAAAATACTATTTCTTTCCTCTAGTTAATCTTATCAGTAAGGCAAGATGGTAATGGGGCACAAACGGAAAGGTACAGCACAACTAAAACCAAGCCTGTAACAGAGACTGTCACAAGCAAAACAAAGATTTCAAGACTCTGAATTCCACTCCTTGTGCCTCTGCATTTTTAACATCTGAAAAACTACATAACGATTCTCTCCTTTATTACTCTAAGCCCTTCAGGACAACACCTATTTCCAGATATTCACAGCACCTACATGCACAACAGGTCCCTGATCTCCAGAGGTAGGCAAGAGAGATCACTAAATCTAAATGAGATTAGAAGTGTTTTGGAGAAGACAGATGCTCTTTTCATGCTTGCAGACTGCCTCACGCAGCCATGGGATGATGGAAAAGTAAAGCCATTCAAATTCTCTCCTGCTGACTTTCCCTTTCCAGCTTAGATCGTAGCTGCTCCTGAGGCTGCTGGCGAAAACTCCATGGGATTTCCTCACAATGATGAGTTATCCAGTCCTTGGTACAAGAACCATATGGTGACTACAGTTTCTGTGAATTCATCAAATTTCCAGTTTCTTGGCACAGCCACACATAAGGGCAGTAATTCGAGGGATCCTGGAGGCCCGGACAAGGGTTCAGGCTGTTCCTCATGCGGCCACGGGATGTCATCACAGCTACACAGCACTGCCAAGCTGGGGGAAGCTCTGCATGAAGACAGGCTCTTCTCCCTCCCTTCAATTCAATCATGCAGGAGATACAGTTCAAGAGATTCAAAAGTAGCAGCGATACTTCCCAGGATGTTTAACCCATCTAATTACAAAACCCTCCGCAACAGGACAATGCTTCTCCCACCCTAACTGCATGTCCCTGCTCGCTCCCTCGCACTGGGTTTTGGAACAGCGTGAGTTGAATCATCTCACTGAGCTGATGGAAAACATTTCCTTTTGTGGTTACATGACCACACAACTAGACTCAGTGTAAAGGGAATAATGGGAATATTTAGCTGGCTTTTACAGTGAGGAGAGGGAGTGGGGGTGAGGAGGGAAACAAAAACACCAACACCACAGATGGTCCCTCTCTGTAGCAACTCGTATCAGTTTCTTCAAGGTATCCTTCAAAGCCTCTGTCTCCTAAAATCAACTCAAAGCCCAAGTTGTATCGCAAAGACAAAAACATGCTGTGGATTTCTCTCCTCCCTCTTATCTGCTTTATCAACAACAAGAAATTTCAGCAGCAAAGGCTTGCTTACATCGTGTATGGTTTAGTTTGGTTTAATGGTAGTTAGTATCTAAGAACAAGCAAGGTGCCAGCATCTGCAACAGATCAGCACTTCAGATTTCAGATGAATGCTTTACAGATTTACATCTCCCCTGCCTATCACAGCTTTATCTTGGATTCAACTTCTTTTATTTTGCCAGTGACTAAAGCAGAGTTTTCAGTTACTGCGAACAATACATGGGACAAGTTTAACTTCTCGTATTTCTGTAACAGAGTTTAAACTTCACGGGATAAGAGAAGATCCATCTGCGCAATACCAGGGGTTGCCATACTTAGGACATATTATGATGCTCAAGTCTGGTACTAGTCCCAGTTTTCACCAAAAGCCAATCACAAAATCTCAGGGTCCTGACCAGTGACGGAAGGAAGTACTATTACCCATACTTCAAAGAAGGAGGATTATCCAAGCAGATTCATTAGCTTCAGACACCTTCACTAAGATGGAGATCACAAGCACCCAGGCAGACACACCCTCCCCCCCCAGTGTGTTCTCACAGCAGCACCTCACCTATGGGCTACAGGCAGATGCTGGCCATCAGAGCAAGAGATCTGAACCCTCTGCCTACTTCCAGTAGCCTTCTTTCCTAAAGGTGGGCAAAAACCAAGCACACACCACCTGAATTATTCTGAGGACAGCAGCCACTCACTCTGCAGAGTCCCTTAAGCCTTCTCCATTGCATAGCCTAGACGTACATGTGAGATGGCTTTTGGGACAGTGGCAGTGAAAGCAGGATGCAGCCTCTAAGAAGTGCCCCGGGCTCACTGCCAAGCTGCCCACAGCCCCCAAGAAAACCCAACATGACAAGTTTTGGATGTGCAGGCACAGCTGGGAGGGAGTGACAGCCACAAAACAACACATTCCATGGCTGTGACACAAAAGAAGGAGCCGGGCACCAGGTGGGGAGAGTCTAAACCCAGTTATGACTGCTCTACATAGTCATCCACATGTTCTAAAGAAAACAGTGATACAGCCGGTATTTTCCCCACATACAAGCAGGCATAAGAAAATACTTCTGCACAAGCAACGTTTCAGAGACAACTTTTCTAAAAGGGAAGCTATCTACAGGGCTTGAGAAACAGACACTTTATAGCTCAGATACAGCTTAGTGTTTTCCATGAGACCTACTCAAAGTAAAAGGTTATTACTAAACATGGACACTATCTACAAATACAGAATAATCCCAGGAGTCTCAAACAAATTTAAAGCAGAAATTGTTTGAAGGCCTAAATATTACTCATCCTTCCTCTGTTAAACAAAGGCATGGGTTCAACTATTTTAGCTGGCATATAAAATTCAGAGTTCTTCCAATCATACTGTAAAATGCAGTGAACAATTCACACAACAGCTTGAGGGAGACCAATTTATGGAAGCAGATCCTCCAACATCACTGCTATAGCTCAAACAGCAGTAAAACATTTAGTTTAGCATCCTCCCTTCCAACAGACTGATCTATAGTTAGCAAGACAGATCACCCATAAAGGCAGACTTGCAGGAGGAGGGGGGTGAAGTTTAGGAGCAGAGTTATCAGTGACTACAGAAGGACATACCACATCCTGTGCTGTGCTGTGCATTCCCCACTCTTGTACTGGAAGAGACATTATTAATATATATTTAAGTCTGGATGCTCGTCTGTTAGTGTATCTGCTCCAATGTGAACTGCATACTTCACTGTTCAAACACTTTTTAGCAGGATGGGCATAAAGAGCACAAAATACTTTCAAACAGAAGTCAGGAAGACACAAACTCTGCTCTTCCAAACTATCATGTGGGAAAAACCCTGCCCCCAGTACCAACATTACTCTTAAGGAGGGAATATGCCCCTCCACAGAAACAAACAGTGCTGTGCTCTTGAATACCCAGAGCACTCTTAAACATTACGGAACCTTAGCTGAAGACCTTCCCACATCTTACCAGACCACCGCCAGAGCTAAGGAACAGAGATGTTCTCTTCGATGATGTAACTTCAGGTGACAGGGTAACTAGCCTCAGAGGTTACCACACACTTGAGAGGTGGGGACAGCGAGCTGCACTGCAACGGGTGTGAGAATTACTGCAGACCACACCACGACGCTGATGTCCCCACTCTATATAAGCAGTCTTGTACAGCGGCAATGCTTCATGACTTGCTAGTAAATCTATTTTCCAAAATAAATAGAACTAGCATTTAAAATCGTGACAGTTGCACAGCAAGAAAGCTGACTGCATTAAGCACTGTTGACTCATGCCTTTGTTGTAAGCAGCTTACTAGTCCATCTTTCCAGCACCACCTTGCTGTGGCTCCTAGGATATAGCCAGCCCTCAGGACCTGCTGCGCTGAAGACCAAGGCAGATGGCCACTCATGATTCTGGAGCTGGGCCACCGGCAAAGAATAAATACTGACTTCAATGTCACACTGACAGAAGTAGACTTTCCCTTAACAACCTCAAAGCAGCCAGGAGCAAAGAACAAGAATACAGGATACCAGTACATACCAGGCAAGAGGACTACAGCATTTGGCCAATGGGTAACTGGTGACTGCTTCTTGTGAGATAGATGTGTTAGCAAAGAGAAGCAGCAGCTACATCCATGCTGAAAAGCTTGGTGTTTTCTAGTTACACTGGACTGGGTAACAACTTCTACACAGGAAAATTCAGTCTAAGAAAATAAAGCTTCTCCCACTGTGCTGTGAGATCAGCTTCCCAACACAAAAGCTTATTCATAGGCCTGAGACATGTCTGTCTAGTCAGCAGAGAATGGAGATGACCCTTGGAGACCCTGGACCCTTGGGCAGAGAACAAACTCTCCAAGAACCTGCAGCAATATTCAGGACATAACTAGAAACATTTGGTCAGCATGGTATGCAGGAAGCTGCAAACCTTCCCAGTGTGCTTGAGCACACAGCTTTGAATCCTGAGCCTTCCCCTGCACCGTGTTTGAACTATTATCAAATACAACCCTTTTTGGATACACTGCCCTCACCAAGAAAAGCGTAGCTCTTCAGATCAAGGCCAGATAGAATACAACCAGCACACATGCATCAAAAGTGAAAGAGAAGTCTTCGGAAAAAGCACTGAAGAATGCCAGCTGAGGAAGAGAATGCCAACAGTAAGGCTGGTGGAGGAACTGCAGTAAGCAAGACCACAGAGAGAACAGCAGCCATAGGTACACTCCGCTCTGTGCAGTGAGCTGAACAGCAGCACCACGCTTCCTTCACCAACACACTTCCTGCCTCAGCAACAGGGCACAAACGCACTGACTGCTGAACTGTACATAAGGAAAGAGCCTAATCTACTTTCAAACAGAGCTTCACCGTATCTACAGAAAGGACCACGTAGAAAATAAAATTGTAATAGAAGTCCTTATGCATACCTTATCTCCTAGAGATCTGAAAGAAGACTGTGTGCTGGTTTTCGCTGCGATCTGAGCTAATTTTTCTTCTAGCAGCTTGGATGGGATCTGTTTTGCATTTGTGCTGGAAACAGT